AATCTCATAGAAACTTACTGCATCGAGAAGGGAGTTAAAGGCTTCTCTGTGTCTCTGACCAAGGCCTGGGCAGTCAGTGCTAGTGGTCGGTGCAGTGTTGTTCTGACCTATTATCTGGAACAGGGGTCAAGATCCAAGAATCGGAGCTGGAATCAGGAACCAGGAGTCAGAACCAAGGGTCAGAGCTGGAGTCAGAAACTAAGGATGGCTGGAAGAAGGCTGGGAACAGGGCAGGCACAGGAGCGAGCACAGCTGCAGGCATAAGCACTGAGCACATGGCTGCTCAGTGCTACAGCTAGGTTTAAGAGCAGACCTTGCAATGCTGCTCAGCCAGTCCAGCCAATTAGAGGTTGCAGCTGTGATGCTTGCTGACCCCAGGCCCAGCTAGAGGCCCTCATTCCTGACAGTGCCCCTCCCTTTTGAGGACACCTCTCAGAAGCCCTAGGGCCTGGTTTCTCAGGATGAGCCCAGTCATAGGGTGCTTAGCACCCACCTGCAGCCACGCTACGCTCCCCTCCCTCCCCCCCACTCCTGGCCACCGATCAACTCCTCCCCCTCCCTCCCAGCACCTCCTGAATGCTGTGGAACAGCTGTTCAGTGGCATGCTGGAGGCCCTGGGAGGGAGGAGGAGGAGTGGTGACAGGGTGCACTCGGGAGAGGAGGCGGAAAGAGGTGTGGTGCCTTGGGGGGAGTGGTGGAGGGGGGGTGGGAAGAGGTGGGTGAGGGATTGGGGAAGGGGTGGAGTGGTGGCAGGGCCTGGGGCTGAGTGGGAGTAGAGCACCCCAGGGGAAAATTAGAAGCCAGTGCCTGTGAGCCCAGTGGAAGTCCTGTAGTAGGTTTGGGGTGTGGATGTTTTCAGCAAGTTCCCAAAGATCGGTCATCCAGATCATAGCCCTTTCAGTTCACCAGGTAAGGGAGTTTTTCCCTAACTCACCGGGAGTTCAAGATTTGCCAGATTAATTTATTCTTGCTCCCTAATGGTTGTGGGCAGTGGTGATGGGCTGGAGTGATTTGAGAACATATGCTCAGTACGTAGCTTAAGGAGGGAAATGTGAAATATTGGGTGCGTCTTGAGTGAAGCAGGTATTCGTAGCTTGAAGGCTACAGGATTGACCTGTTCCAACAAGTTCATGAATGGGCACAAGTACTGATGATCGAATTTGGCTGACAAGTGGACCAACTTGAGGTTCTGGGTCAATAGCCAGACCTTGTCCCCCACAGGATGAGAGAGGTCCGATAACCTTGGTCAGCATGGTGTTTGTAAGTTTCCTTTATGGATATCAATTGCTCCTGGAGCTCTTGGTGTAGGTGGGCAGCCCAATCTGCAGCTGCAGGTACTGGGGAGTTCATGGGTATGTCAGGATGGAATTGAGAATGAAAACAGTCACACAGAATGAGCTTTGTTATGTTGAGGCATGGATTGCATTATTAAAGGCGAATTCTGCATAGTGAAGCAGAGAAAACCAGTCGTCCTGGGGTTAATTCAAGAAACAATGTAGGTACTAGTCTAGAATCTAGTTGACTTGTTCTGTTTGCCTATTGGCCTGCAAATGGTAGGCAGACAAGGTGAGAGACTTTATGCTGAGAAGCAGTTAGAACTCCTGTCAAAAACGGGACACAAACTGGGGGCCACAGTCCAGCATGATGCCAGTTGGTAGCCCATGTAGGGGAAGATATTTGTGCCCTTGAAATTGAGGCAGCTCCACAACAGAGTCTATAGATACCATAGATACCATAGGGTTGGTGGGGAAATGGGCAAAGGCTGGAGAAGGCTGAGCGGTTTCAAGTGCCAGCTCTTGGTTTGGGAGCAAATGTCACAGAGCCTTGCATATTCTTTGGTGCATGCATGTGGACCAACCCACCAGAAACTCTGCATTATCAGGCCCTACAACTTGGGTTGGCCAAAGTGACCATCAACTGGCATGTCATGACAGTTTCAGGACCTGGAGTCTAGCTTGACATTCCAAAACATAAATACGATGTTTTATATCATAGAGGAGGCCATCCTGCAGCCTGAATTTGGATCTAGATTTGGCATCTATGTTATCCAGGGTCTGATGGATCTGGGTCGCCAAGGGGTCGTGGAACAGCTGACAACAGATACATTAGATTGCAGTCAACTGACCTGAAACAAAAATTGGATGCATTAAGGATTGCGAAGAGACGTTCCATGCCAGTCTATAGGTACACCTTTTCGTGGGACAGAGCATCTGCTTTCTCATTTGTAGGTCCTGGGTGCTAGGTTACAACAAAATCAAATCTGCCATTAATTGAGGTGCCTGGCCATCCAGAGGTACTCTAGGTTCTTATGGCTTGTGAGAACCTGGATTGGGAACTGAGCTCCCTCCAGGAGGTGACACCATTCTTCAGCGTTGCCTTGATTGGTAGTAATGTCGTGTCTCAGATGTTATAATTATTCTCTGCCACATTCAGTTTGCAGGAATAAAAGGCATATGGGTGAAGTTGACTATGGGAGCTCACTGGCTGGGACAATCTCGCAGATGGCAAAATCTGACAAGTCAGCTTCCACAATTAATGGTCTGGTGGGGTCTAGGTGGTAAGATGGGTGCCATGGTGAATGTCCTAATCAGCTGATCAAAGGTAGGCTGAACTTCTGAGGACCAGATGAACCATGCTCCTTTTTCCAGGAGTGTCATCATAGGGGCGACCAGCCTAGAAAATCCCTTGATGAAACACCAGTAGATATTATTGAAACCCAAGAACCATATGTCCTATGGAGCCCCCCAGTTGGATATGGCTGACTCCTTGCATGGGTACATAATGAGTCCCTTAGAGGAGACAGCACACCCTAGGAATTAAACCATGTCCCCATCAAACTCACATTTCTGAAGCTTCACCCAGAGGTGGTTTTCCTGGAGTTTTTCTAAGATGCAGTGCACATGCTGGTTATGAAGATCCTGATCCGGAGAAAAAAAGAGGATATCAAGATAAACTGGTCCAAGATATCATCAATGAAGTGCTGAAAGGTTGCCAGGGCATTGCACAGGCTAAAAGGCAGGACCAGGACCGGGTATTTGAAATGCCTGTACCTGGTACAGAAAGCAGTCTTCCTCTTGGATCCAGACTAGATTATATGCTCCTTGAAGGTCCAGTTTGGCATAGGAGCCAGAGGGGGACATGCTGGCTGCTTCCGGACACCTGGTCACCCTGCCCTCTGCCCCAGCCCTGAGCCCCCTGCTGCACCCTAACCCTTCATCCCCAGCCTCACCCCAGAGCCTGCACCCCCAGCCAAAGCCCTCATCTCCCATACCCCAACCCTCTGCCCTAGCCTTGAGCCCCCTCCTGCACCCCAATCCCCTCATCCTCAGCCCCACCCCAGAGCCCGCACCCCCAGCCAGAGCCCTCACCCCCCTTCCGCACCTCAGCCCTCTGCCCAAGCCCTGAGCCCCCTCCCACACTCATAACCCTTTAGCCCCACCCCCACCACACATCACCTCCATATTGGTGCACATAACATTCATTCTGCACATGGATGTAAAAAATTAGAGGGAACACTGGCATTCACTATCTCACACAAGATGATGCTGGCCTTAGCAGGATCCATCCCAGTAACTGACCCATTTCTACTCCCCTTCTTTACCTCCTTTTTTTTGGTAGGCTGCTCGAACTGTCACTCATCAGGTCATGGGTGGTCACTCCTACTGGTTGGAGCAGTGGTGATCCAGCCTAATAGTTGGATTCCAGATCCAGGAGTCAGAGCCAGAGTCAGGAACCAGGAGTCAGAAACAGAGCAGGGGAGCATGGTTGGCGCAGATTAGAGCAGGGCTGGAGCAAGGCTGGGAAAGGACTGGAGCACAGCAGGAAACAAGGCAGGCACAAGAGCGAGCATAGCTGCAGGCGTAAGCGTTGAGCAGCCACTGGCCAATGGAACTGCTGGGCTTAAGAGCTGTCTTGGCAATGCCATTCAGCCAATCAAGCGACCTGGCTGACTAGGGGTTTCCGCTGAAGTTAGCTAACTGATCTCCAGAGTTACAAAAGGAAGCAGTCCAGCTTAGCAGAGGAGAAAAGAGCTTTCAGAAGGCAGTGCCCAAAGGGTCGAAACATCACCTTTAAATGTGACAGATGCAGCAGAGCTTGTCCCTCTCTAGTGGGTCTCTTCAGCCACGTTTGCAGCTGCCATAAAACCAACTGAATAAATTCTTTATCTCTCATGGGTGCATACCCATGGTCTCTCGAGACTGAAGGATGCCTACTAACTTGCTAGCTGATCTCAGGCCTGGCTGCAGGCCCTCATTCCTGACATTCTGTAAATCCTAGGCTGGAACTCCATAGCCTTGTATTGTATCATTGTATTGAAAAGGTTTACATTTGAATTGAAGCAAATACTCACCCGCACTACACACCACACCACAGAAACATTAACCCTGGAACCAATCCCTGTAACAAACCCCGTTGCCTACTCAGTCCCCATATCTACTCTAGCAACACCATCAGAGGACCCAACCACATCAGCCACACTATCAGGAGCTCATTCACCTGGACATCTACTAATGTGATATATGCCATCATGTGCCAGCAATGCCCCTCTGCCATGTACATTGGCCAAACCAGACAGTCTCTACGTAAAAGAATAAATGGACACAAATCAAACATCAGGAATGGTAACATACAAAAGCCAGTGGGAGAACACTTCAATCTCCCTGGACATTCAATAGCAGATTTAAAAGTAGCCATCCTTCAACAAATAAACTTCAAAAACAGACTTCAAAGAGAAACTGCAGAGCTACAATTCATTTGCAAACTTAACACCATTAATTTGGACTTGAATAGGGACTGAGAGTGGCTGGCTCACTACAAAGCAATTTTCCCTCTCTTGGTATTGACACCTCCTCATCAACTATTGGGAGTGGACCACATCCACTCTGACAGAATTGGCCTTGTCAACACTGGTTCTCCACTTGTAAGGTAATTCCCTTCTCTTCATTTGCCAGTGTATCTATGCCCGTATCAGTAATTTTCACTCCATGCATCTGAAGAAGTGGGGTTTTATACCCACGAAAGCTTATGCCCAAATACATCTGTTAGTCTTTAAGGTGCCACCAGACTCCTCGTTGTCCTAGTAGTGAATGTTTTTGTTAACAGTTTTGAGAGCCACCCAGTGCACATCCAACATGAAAGAGTCTGAGCAACCTTAGAGAAATCTGAGCAACGCCCACTAACTTCAATGGGAAATGTGTCTAAGCACCAAGAAGCATGAGGCCCAAGGGCTTTTAGTTTTCCTTAGAAAAAAAAATTTAAAAGAAGACGTCCTCTGAGCAATTGTTTGAATGTGTATTATATTGCACAATCTCACCCTTAGTTATTGCCCCCTTAATCAGTCTTCTGCTGCACCCAGGTGTTCTTTTCTGAAAAATAAACTATTTTTCTACTTCTTACATTTTCAGTCCACCGTTAAAATACTCAGAGGGACAGATTGTTGTCAGCCTTACTCACAGTGTAGTATCTTTCTCCGTAAGAAGTCCCATTGGAATCAGAGGGCTCTCTAATGAAGGTAGGTGGCAAAAATCTATCTCAGAATGAAACGGTGGAAGCACCAACTGAACATTTTATGAAAAATAAATTAATGGCAATGAAACATGCAAGGAACATTACAAATATAAACAATTCAGGGTTTTATATACCTTAAATGTACCATTAAAATGTTCACCGTTTTTAAATGCTCTATACGAAGACTTTCTGGTAGGATATTATTAAATGGGGAGAAAACAAATAGCTCTTGGGCCATATTCTCCCCTTCATCTTTGTCCAGAACTTCCACTGTTTTCAGTAAGAGTTCTGTGCAGGCAAAAATAGTAAAATAGGGCTCAATGTTTGTAAATGATAGAGAACGTATTCTGTTAAGATTTATTCCTGAATTAATCTGATTATACTGTATCATAAATGTTTGATGCTCTACAGTAGGTTGCTAGGTGGTATATATACAGTATTACTATATATTAAAAGTTCAATCTTTGTTCTCAGTTACACTTAAGTATTAGCAGGATGTATTAATTTATTTTGATGGCAGGGAAATAATTTACTCTCAATACAAAAGTATCCTTGTTTCCCAGTGAACTACAACAAAATATACTGTCAAGTTTTGTATGGAAAATGAACTTCTGATTATAAATCATAATGGGACAGAGAATATAGCTTTTGGGAGAGTGTACGTGTTCTTTGTGAATAAAACCCTGCTGCTCAACAGAAATTACAGCAATAATTAGCCAATTAAGTTCAAGAGGTGCCTTAATCATATGATAAATAGGGAGAGCCAATTGCACAGAAAAATATCAGCCATACAGGTTTTGCAATGGCCAGCCACACCTTCAGCATTGCTGTGGTTGTCAGCTTTGCTAGTGTGAGTGGCAGAGAAACAGTACATTGAAGAACACAAAGAACTCAGGTGTTATATTGGTTGTCATCCTTCAGGAGATAGAGGTAGATCTGAGTTACCTGCTCTTTGCTCCTATAAATGTGTTGTAAATGGCTAATTCACGTGTCAAGCCTTCATTTTCTTCTCTTGATAATTTTCATGGAAGAAAGAGAGATAGGAAAAAAAACTTCAGATCATCCAGTCCATTTTCCTGTCAATGGATTTGCTCCCTACAACACATTTTCTAGCTTTTTTCCACTCCTGTTTTAAATGTCCTAACTGAAGGCACTTCTTTGGCAGATTATTTCACAGCCTAATGCACTTCCCTGTCAGGATGTGTTTCCTGATATTCATTCTAAAATTTCCCTTTCTTAATTTCATTTACTTACTCACACCCATGTGTACCAGTCTAAATACTTCCACTCCACCCTTAATGTTTACATTATTTAAATATTTGTAGACTGTTAACATGGCCCTATTTAGTCATCCATTAACAGAATTGCATTTTTAGCTCTTTTAATCTTTCCATAAAGCCATTCCTCCAGATAATTCTTGTTGCTCTTCTTTAAACTGTCTCCAATTTGTCAATATCTCCCTTATGAGGTGGTGCTTAGAAATTAATTCACTATTCCAGTTGTAGCCAGACCAGAGCCCTAGAGCGTTTTGTTTTGACTAGGAAAAGTGATCAAGTTTACTTCAGGTTTAGCTAAAACATTAGGTAATCCTGACTTAAAGTTGACCTTTTTCCTAGTGGAGATGTAGGGAAAGACCTTGTAGCTTGATGTAGCTGACTGAGTTGTAGCCTACTAGGCTCCAAAGTCAGAGAGAGAGGGACCATTATCTCCCTGTTCTGTGAATTGATGTTTCTGTATGTGCAGCCCCAAAGTGACCTGGCTTTTCTGCTGCAATAATGCACCCCAGACTCATGTCAGATTTGCAGTACTTTATCACCCCATGCAGAGGCACTGACTTTGTGATTTCCTGGGGGAGCCCTGAAGCACCAACGGCTCCATGGCTTTGACCCCATGTCTCTTTCCACATGGCTGGTTCCAGGTTTTTCCTTCCCATTGAATATTTGTGAGTTTCAGATTATTTTCCCCTCAGATGTACCAGGCTGCATTTCCCCAAGTGCGGTCTCATTTTGTTATGTTTTGCCAATTTTTTATATTTAGAGCCCCTTATATTCTTCTTCTGTTCTCACTTATATTTCCAACTCCTCACAATTTATTATCTGCACATATTATACACATGCTGTTTGCCCCTATCTTCCAGATCATTGCCAGAGTCTGATGCCCTTACATTGAGTAGCATCTTACTCCATGAGTAATTCCATTTACTTCAGTGACATTGCAAAGTAACATGCTACTCAGTGTAAGTAAGAGGATCAGAATCTTGCCCTAAAAAATGGTCTTAATACCAAACCCTGTGGAATCCACTAGACACTTATATTCAAGCCGATACTTTGCCACTTATTACTCCACAACAGAAATAAGTGGATTGAGGTGAGTGGAAGTTATTTAAAGGGCCAGCTGGGAGAAATCGGATTAGGGTTACAACCTGCTGTACTTTCCTTATTAACTTCAATTAATTTTAAGACATTGTTTCAAATGCTGTACTAACAATCCAAATATATTACATCTACCATGTTATCTCCATCTACTAATTCTATAATTCCATAAAAAAATCAAGTTTGTCTGTCAACTTTTATTCTTAGCAAACCCATGCTACATAGTGCTTATGATTGCATGATCCGCTAGATATTAGTAGGGGGATTTTTTTTTATTTGAATTCTTCTTTTGTATCTAAATTAAATTACCAGATATATTATATTAAGTTTCTCCTTTATTAAACTATTGAGAAAAAAATTAAATGCTTCACTTTCAAGAATTTAATATTTTAAAAAGTAAATGTAATTGTGCAATAAATTACTTTACACGTAGAGAGAGATGGCCAACTTCTGATCATCTTGGTAATATACCAACCACCCTCTGTTTCACTGAAGTTACCATTTTAGCACAGGCCCTGAAAATACATAACATTGCAGCCACAGAGGTATGGGAGTAGGGTTTTAGCTTGAGCCTTTGATGAAATGCCACCAATTTCCTCTTAAAGGAGAAACTAAAGAGTATTCTGTCTACAATAATGGCCCCTGTAGTAGCACTATTATAAGTCGTGCTATTTGGGCTGTCACTATAGATACAGTAATATAATGGCTCTCCTTTCTTCATCCCACTCCTACAATGGAATGCTCATGCCTGACAATCCTGTGGTTGTGACTGTGCCTCCAGTATGTTGCTCCTCAGCTCTTGTCCCACACATTACCTCAGTAACGTCATCTCCCATTGTATGCCGCTCACCCTGGGCTTAGTCCCGCAAGGTACTGAGTACTCTGGCTGCAATCTAGTCAAACACTTAACAGCTGAATTAACATTAAGCATGCAAGTAGTGCCAGTGAAGAGGACTACTCATATACTTATACTTCAGTAAGGCTTAAATGTGTTGCTGGATCAAGGTCAGAGTAGTTAATACCTTGCAGGATCAAACCTCAATGATGCAGACAGAACCTCAACTACAGTTTGAACTCAGTTCCCAATATGACCAATGAGAAAGTTGTTGCAGGTGGCATAAATCTTCCTCTAGGAACCTGGATTCTATGATGTTCCAGTCCTTTGATGGTCCACATTGCAAAAGAGCAAGGTTTCTGATGTGATATCTAGGACATTTCATGTAATTTAAGTAGAGTGTCATAAATTTGCAATTTTAGTTAAATAAAATTCCACCTAAGTGGGGATATACACCAGGGGTCGGCAACCTTCGGCACACGGACCATCAGGATAATCCATTAGCGGGCTGCGAGATGTTTTGTTTACATTGACTGTCTGCAGGCATGGCCCCACGCAGCTCCCAGTGGCTGCAGGTTTGCTGTTCCCGGCCAATGGGAGCTGCCGGAAGCGGCACGGGCCGTGACCTATGCATGACTTGTACTATATATTTCTGACTAAATCGTGGGGAGGGGGAGGCCCAGAGGTGCCATGGGGGGTGCTGGTGAGGGGGTGTGTCACAGTCCAGGGGACACTGTGGGTGCTTCTGGGGGGATTGGCAGGGCTGGCAGGCTCCCTACCTGGCTCCTCGTGGCTCTCTAGAAGCAACAACATGTCCTTCCCTCAGCTTCTAGCTCTGCGCGCTGCCCCCACCCCAAGCTCTGGCTCTGTAGCTCCCATTGGCCGGCGGAGGCAGTGCGCAGAGCTAGGAGCTGAGGGAGGGACATGTAGCCACTTCCAGGGAGGCCCCCCCCCCCAAGGTAAGTGCTGCCCAGAGCCCCCTCCCACACCCAAATTCCTGCTGCTGCTGGGGGGCAGGAGGCGGAGGCCTGAGACTGCCCTAGCAGAGGCCGGTGCAGCTGGTCCAGGGGCTGCACGAGCTGCTCAGGCGGCCCCAGTCCAGCTGCACCAGCCACTACAGAAGTCATGGAGGTCCCAGAAAGTCATGGAATCCGTATCTTCTGTGACCTCTGTGACAAACTCGCAGTCTTACATATACCTCATTTCCGATTCACATAACCAATAACATTGCAAGGATGTCCTAATGGTAACAGGAGAACAGCACCTGGATGAAGAGAAGCTGGCTCCTACTTCACCCAAGAAAGAAAACTGACTTTAATGGGAACTTCTGGATGATCAGCACACTTTAAAATCAAGCCACTTATTCAGGTGCCTAAATACAGATTTAGCAGCCTAATTTTAGGCAACCATGGTTGAAAATCTTGGTCAAAGTTTATTTGATGCCTGATTAAATTCAAATCCACATAAAGCCCAAATATTCATGGGAAGTGGAGGGATCTTCTCTTAATATTATCTCTGTCAGTTATAGGGCCACAGGTTAGGCAAATAAATGGGAAATGCATCAGTGATTGTGCCATAAATGTGTTGTTAGTTTCACTTTTGTTAATCATTTAGTCTCTGATCTTGCCAGCTGATCTCTGTACTGAAGACACTGGGGCTATGGGCTAACACTGGAGTCTACCCATATGGATAAGCTTGTAGGAGCAGCACCTTACGTTCTGATCTTATAATTTGATTAATGCTTTGGCACCAGGAAGGAACTGATTCTATTTGTCTGTCCCTGCCTTATTTATTTTT